TCTTTCCCATTAGTAGTCTGGAAAACAAAGCTGTTGTGGCATTGTTAGTAGAGACAAACTGCATCACCGGTGTCTTGTATGTAAGCTTTATACATACATATTTACTGAATACATGACAGAAATGATCTCATCAAATTCATTTAGCAAGGATAAAGACTTTAATTCAGGTCATACTATTACAATATCAGACCTAACCCAAGTATGAAGAATACTGCATGCAACAGGATTTGATGACTTGACATACTGAGATATCTTCACTAAAATGAGATTAAAACAAAACACACAAAAAAATTCTGAAAAGCTCTCCTTAAAAAGCCACAACCTTCAGCTTCCAAAGTTAAAAAGCTACTTTCCCTGCCGAGTCCAGAAGAACAAAGAATAATATATTTTGGAAAGAACAGTCAAAGCAAAACTTTTCACTCCCCAGAGTAGTAGGAAAAACTTTCAAGGTACAGATTTTGTATGTCCAACTAATAGGGGAAAAAAAAAAAATCACAGAAGCTCTTTAAAGGGGACCTTTCTCAGTCAGAAGATTTAAATCAGACCCTAAACCCAGCAAATAACAGACATAAGAGAAATAAAGCAAGTAGTATTTTAGTTACTAGCAATCTCTCATTCCTTAGGCTCTGTAAAGATGAATCCCCTTTCAATGCCTGGCAATATTTAGAAATAAAGGATCTGTCTGATTTATTGTATACTTACCCCTGAATTACAAGGAGGATCAATCAGACTGAGATTAGGGAGAGATGCCTGAAGTGCATTTACATATACTGGCTGAGGATGAACGGAGCACATTAAAGCTGAAAATTTAACAGAAACACACAGAGAAATACACCCTCATATATCAAGTGTTTTAAAAGCCTTAATCTGTGAAGCATGCAAATACTCTGACTTGTAACTCATAATTTTATCTTCAGTAAGAGCACATCTGATCCTTGCTATCGAGAATAACCAGTGCAAAAATAGCACCTTACCTTCGTATTTGTACTTCTGAATCTTCCTAATCAGGTCTATCCTGTGAATATTTCGAAAACAACTTTCTATCAAATCCAGTTGATTAGGAGCCACCAAATTTAGTTTCTCCAGGTCAATCACAAGAGCTAGAAAACTCTAGAATAGCAACAGAAACCAAACTGTCATATCAGTAATTTGTTCTCTGCCAGTCAGTAACAAAGCAACCCAGAAAATAACATGGGGAGGTCATAAAGGTTGTATATTGAAGAACTAGGGACATTACCTTCTGAAATACTAAAAAGATTATCTGGAAGATATAAGAATTCTTGGTATTATCATAGAAGTAATGAAAACTAGGAGGCGATATTTTTAAAAACAAATCCAAGTTTCTGAGGAAACAGTTTTGCATTTCCTTGTTGCTACAAAGCCAGCCACTTGGAATGTCACCTCACAGGCCACAAAGCAAGAGGTAAGAAAAGCTCTGGGGAATTTGCAGGACCTCTCTCCTTCTTTGGTTAAAGAGAGAAAAAGAATAAAACTCAAAGGACGAAGATGGAAATCTTCAGTCTTCTATGCACAGTGGTCAAGTTTTCTGAACCCTCTCTACCGAATGTCTGCTTTCTCAGAGCATTTAAACATGCAGAATGCAAATGTACAGAGAAAGACATAATTCAAATAAAACTGTTCTTTTTTAAGTGAAGCAGAGCACAAACATAAAAAGTGATCTTGTAATTCAAAATACATTTCATATGATTATTGGTTTGAGAGCCTTCATATATCAACCTTCAGATCACTAATACTGAAGATTTTTTTTTAATGCCTTCTGCCTGCAAGGTTCATGCTAACACCATTCACTACACCAAGTCTTCACTGTTCCCTCTTACTGTTTCTCATGCTTGAACTAAAAAAAAATAATGAAATAGAAGTCACTACTCCTTCTCCACTTCCTGACTTGTCTACTCCTGCCTCACTACCCCTTTGCAGTACTGCCTCCCCTCCTTTGCTGTCTAGCTACTTCCCTTTTTACTTTAATCTCTCATTGCTTCAGAGGAGAAGACTAGCAGAAAGACATTACCTTATCTTTTGCCATTTTCATACGAGGTGCGTAATCCCTGAGTAGAAAAACAAGAGAACTCACTTCTTCTTTTTCCAGATTCTCATTAATCTCTACCATTAGTACCCTGAAATAAAGTTGAGACATTTCTAAAGGATTAGCTTTCAGCGAGATCCCACCCTTGCCCAACTCACCCAACTTCTCCCATGTCCCAGTCTTACATGTGCCATTCCCAATTAAATGACAGGAAAAAAGCCTACCCTGCTCCAAGATCCAATTACAAAATACCTACTCTTGCTCATCAGCACCTGCATTACTCAGACTGACTGTGTAATAGCCACTGCTAGGAAAACAGAAGTCTCCTTAATATTTCAATAGAGATGAAGTAAGAGAATGAGACAACAGAACACATCCTTAACTTTTTTACTTCGTAGTTACAGGGGTTTTATTTCAGTGAGAAGTTAACACAAGAAAATCTTCCTTATGAGTACATACATTTCTTTCCGAAGTCTCTCAAAGAAAATAACTGGACCTTCTTAATTTAAGCATCTTAAAACTACAGAGTAGAAAAGAGCAAGAGATGGGTCCCCTGAGAAAAGCTATACCACACGGCTACGTGCCCAAAACAAACTAGAAAAGAAAGTATCTCTAACTAATGATGTTCCTCTAAAGCATAATTTCTACCTGCTAATCTAGAACTGTACAACATCACTGGTTTTATTCATTAACATACACAAACTCCATAAAGATAGATGCTTCTAATGCCTTGACTTGTAAGAAGCTACTAAGGCTTATTTTAGGGACTAAACTTGACATATTCTTTTCACTATAACTCTAGATATGATGCCCTTTTCTGATTTTCTTTTACCTTCAAGACATATTTAAAAAAGAAACAAAAAACAAACCCACGAAAAACCAAAACAAAACAACCTGCATACATTTTGAATAAAAGAGAGTAGCCTTGAAATCTGAAATAGATGTATTACCTGTAATCAGGGACAATTCTGAGACTCCTGGCAAGGTTAGCTTCCACTGTTGCTTTCTCAGTCTTCAAGATCCTCCTTAGCAAGTCAAACCTCTTAACCCTGTACAACAGCTCAGACAAGCCAAGAAAAGACAATTTCTCCCTCTCATTCAAAGCCACCAAGAGCTCTCTAAGGTCAGCAGTGGCCAAGTCAGGAGCAAGGTCTCGGCATAGGAAAACCATAATCTCTTCTTCTTCTTTATCCAATTCTTGTTCAATCTGGTGAATAAGGACAGCTGGCACTTGGCACCTGGTCATCACTTTGTCGCTGTCCCTTTAAAATTGCTAGCCTACTGTTTTTTAAACAGGAAGCCAGCATGACATGAAGCCCTTGTCTACCACAGCACTTCTCTCGTGTTCATTCTTAACTAGATGCATTTTTACATAAGCAGTTCTGTGGGAGAGAATTAAAAGGTACTAAATCAATGATCTGCTGCACAAGTTCACAGTTAACTCTCCTATCTGACGTATTTCACTTACAACTAAAATACCAACGTAGTCTACATAGACCGCCTGTTCTCATGGGGTTCTCCCAGCTGTTCATTACAGAACAAAAAGTACTTGGTAGGTCATATTAATCAGAAAAAAATGGAAGTTCTTTTTAAAGTAAAATTACCTTAACATAAGTCTGTAAATTCCATAGGAAGTGAAACAAAAGTCATCAGCTTGCTGATGAGTGATATTTCAAGTGTTTCTGGAAATAAGAGTTAAGTTCCACAGCAACTTAAGTCTAAAGCTCTGATCTCTTCCCAGCAACCTTCCACGCCCCCTGCTCACCACCACCTTTTCTCCCCTAAAAGTCTCAAGGCTTTTTTCAGGAAGAGTTTTGGGAGCTAAGAGGTAGTGTAACCACACATTGTAGACAAAAGAATTAAAAAACACCCACATATAAACTCACCGCTATCAGGCACACACTTTGCCTTAAATTAAGTCAAAATAAAGGAAATATTCACAATATGTAATATTTTAAAACATTGATTATCTATAAATTCAGGAATGTGTGGATTTTCTTACTTATTAGTGTAATTTATAGTGATTCCATTCTGAATGAGTTACTGGGGTTTTAAGGATTCCCCACATACTCCCTCCCTGCTCAAAAAGATGGAACAACCACACAAAGAAAAAATTCCAAGCTTAAGTATGCAAATCAGTTAGCTCCGAAGGTATAGATAAATGATAGACCGTCTTTTTCTTCATGTGACATTCATGTTTCACCATACTGAAAACCAAAATAAAAATTCAAACCTAGAAAAAACCCCACCCTTGTGATTAACAAAATAAGTAGGGTGCTATGCTCAATTTCCACTGCCACCAACTATGCAAATTCTATCTAACCTTCTCCAGTCCCCATTACCTACATGCAGAAAGGTGAAATGAGCAATCTAAAGACCAATCTCAGCCCTTACAAGAAGTTCAGTCACTATACCGAATAGTTTTGTTTAAATCATTCTGAGAAGCAAAAGCCAATTCAACTTCAAAGCCTAATACACTGAAAGATTCTAGCACCTGGAAGCATATTCTGCAAGTCACAATCAACAATGTCACATATTGTGTCCATGCATTAAGGACATGAGATGAAACTCATCTACAAGCGCTTTTTTTTTTTTCATTGCAATGCTGTTTAAATGAAACAGCTCTATACATCCAGCTGACTTTCCTCAGAAAACAAGAGTTGGATTCGATTGAACTCATGGATTGGGTTCCACTGCCCACTAAAAGTGCATATCAGATTCAAGCTCCTAGGGCAAAGTCTCCTTTATCTACATCTATCCCAGTGAGCCATGTTTTCTATGGAGTCAAAGACTACAGTGGCTTTCTCCTCCAACACTGTTGCTGACAGTCACAATAGCAAGTCACCAGTATTAAAAAAAAAAACCCCAAAGGCACTGTTAATCTTGCTGATCGCATGTCTGAATCACTAGCAGAATATAACACAAGTAGCTACTATGACCTCAAGGTCCCATCTTCAGAAGCAAAACGGAAGGGGGAGGTAAGGAAGGGCAGCACAGGCAAGCTGTAAAATATCATAAACCCACCACATTAGAAGACCCAAGCAGTACTCAGCTTAAGTATTCCTGCCCTTCCATACCACAGTGTAAATGAGATCTAATGTATATGCGACAGAGTCCTCAAAACGCCACTGAGGCCGCTTTGGCTCATCTTCAGAAGCACAGAGCGTTCAACTGCAGCTGACAGTTAACAGGGCGGCAGATACCCTGCTTAGCTGATTGCAGCCTCCTACGTGCGTTCTATGCAGACTGTGCTAAATACCTAGAGTAAACACACAATTATAGTACTCCTGCTACAGCACACAACCAGCAAAAAGCAACACCTATCCTCTCTGATACAGTTCTGTTCTTCAGAACCCAAAAGGGACAGGCACAAACACAGTGTTTTCCCTCATCACATGACACCATTTAGGAACCTGGGAGAATTAAATGCACTGTTTGCTCTAAGAAGTGCAACAACATTTAATTCTAATGTAAACAGTGCAAACAGCAAAAAAAAAAAATCACAAACAGAAATGAAACATCAGTAGAAGCTGCCACTTTCAAATACCCAGAACCACAGTATTTTTAATATAGCAAGCTGAAAAGTTTTGTTTCCAACAAAACCAAACTCGGTAGACAAAATATTTCTGCTATTGGACCTGTTCTATTTCATACACGGACCTGCAATGCTACCACTTGTACAGCTGGGGTGGAAGGGCAGGGTGGGAAAATTTTGCAGGCCTCTGATAAGCAAAGGAATCCCTTATGCACTGGAATGTGTTTTGTACAGTTTTCTATCAGAGGAAAAGCATATTTATTCCTAACTTATTTTCAATCTAGCATCAAACATTTGTGAGAATTCTACAGAAAGACAAAGACTGTTTTCATGACATAATGCAGTCAAGGGGGAGGCACAAAACACTCCCATATGAAAGCATGTTCCAAGTACATGCAGCTGGGACTTTCAAAAGAGCTTGAGGAAGTCATATTTATGACTCACTTTAAAGAGAAATGGGAATTTAACAACTTTTGGCCACTTTCAGAAATCTCAGATAAACTTTTTATTTTTTAAAAAACTACTCTAGTTGATTTTTATCTGATCTTTTAAAACTAGTTAAAAAAAAGAGGTGTGCGTGTGTGTGTGCAATGGGGAAGAATTTCCTACAGAGTTAAAATTTCACACATGCAAAATTACTATTTATATGTTAGCTTAAAAATAATCTGCCTTTAAAACACACACATGAATTATTTATTTTTGTGAACTTCCTTTATATAAGATAAATTGCATGCTCATTATAAAAAAATACTGATCAATACTTCCAGTGCTGAAAACTCTCTTACCTGTATGCAAGTCTGTCCACAAGGACATTGAAAGACTGGCATTTGACCATTGCTGAATCACTGATCCAGATCCAGCACACATTGGTTTCCATCCAGTATTTTCCAATGATGGTCCATAGACAAAGTTGATTATATCAGCTCGTTTTCTGTTGGACAAATGTCAATGTCAAAAATTACTGCTGGGGGCTACTTCCTAATTTTAGTGGGGGGAAAACCAGGGAAAAATTATCTAGGGTCATGCATTCTTCTGTATGATTCCACTGGTCCAGTGAACCAGGAATGATGCTCCAAATAAAAACAACTGCGCACATATAGTGTTTGTCAATAACATTCATTCCCCCAGGGTTCTGAGTGGGGAATGAGTAAAAGCAACATGAAGTACATGTTTAGTATAAACTAAAACAGTTTATAACTTTAATGTCACACCACTGGGGCAAGCCTGATACATTCCATCTGCATACATCTGAGCCAGATCCACTTCACCGTGAGGGGTGAAGGGCATCATGCTTCACCCTTCCATCTGATATGTCCACTTTTGCGAACATCACAGATACAGTTATCATAGCTGCAACAATTAAAGAAAGAGAAAAACAATGACAATGTAAAAGCCAGCAGCCTGGCTTTCAATTTAGATTAGCTGGGCCCTGCAATGAGAAGAGTTATTGAGTGTACATTCTTTACAAAGAGGAGAGGAAAAACAGCTTATCTTCTCAAGAGGAAAGAAAAAAGTTCATAGTTCTCTCATCAGAGATAAAGCTGCCCCAATAGTTTGTGTGTTCATGTGCACATGTAATTTGCCAATATTGCTGCAAGAAAACACTCAAGATTTTCCTCTTCAGTTCAATGTTTCATTTATTGAGTAAAGATTTCAATGCAAAACTTATGGAGCAGGAAGATGGTTAAAAAAAGAAACCTAAAGTACTACACATTCTCATTTACATTCCCGATTTATAAGAAATCCAGAATCATTCCAAATAGCTGAAGTCTAACACTACCACCATCACTGACAGATAAAAGGATACTGCAAAGTCACATCAGGAACAGTGAATGAAAGGGGCAGGCCTACACACGGAATAACAACAACAAAAAAATCTCTTTTCCTCCTGTATTCAAAGAACCAGGAAAAGCCCTGGTATGCTGACAGAAAATGACTGGTGAGGGGAGAGTCTGGCTATGTTAGTTCACTATCACCTCAAATTTTCACAAAGGAAGGACTCTTCTGGGAAATAGTCTTAAGGTCTCTGGAAAGAAAACCACTGATTCTAGGGTGACTCATCTGTCCTCTTGTCCTCAAAAGAGGTCTGAGAGGAAACACGTTGCAAGGCACGTGTACCAAAGTGCACTTAAACACAAGTTTCTGGGTTTAGTTAACTTTCAGACTTTCCTGAACAGAGTGTAAGACTTTAAAGCTGATGAATTTCTTACATACTGCACAGGAAACCACCTTCGTCACAGGCGTATTTGTCTAAGTCTGCACTGACTTGTGACCCTGGGTATTACACTGTAAACACTGTTCAGAAGATGACATTTTTTAAAGTAAACACTTGAGAATATTAGCAAGCATATTTACTCCTCCGACCACAAATCATTTCCATTCCACACTAAAACAGACAGAAAAAAGTCTGTATGTTCACTGGCTTCTATGAAGCTAATAAAGTTAATTATACTCCTGTTTTTGAACTATTTTACACTGCCCCCAGTCCATACAGAATACAACCAAAATCAGGGTCAGATTTTTTTTTCTTTTTTTTTTTCCTCAAGGAGCAGGAAATAACAACATACTAAAGCTTCACAGACAAAGACACACAAGACTCCAGTAACTCCCTGCTGGCATTAACAAGTGGAGGCTGGTACATCTGTACAAGGCTCAAGCAATTTTACTCTTTCCTGTTTAATACTATGCATGAAACCCTTATTCTCATGATTGTAACACAAATGCTGCACAACATACAAATACCGATGTGATTATCAAGGCAAAGAGAAGTGTCCTGTATTAATGCTGATAAGTCATCATATCAGGCCTTATATTAAGAAGGAAGGTCTTTAAAGAGAAGCAGGGAAACATTTCACACTCTAAACATGGTCTACAATTAGAGTCTGTCATTTCTGACAGCATTTGTTTCTTGAATGTTTCACAACCATCTCTGCAGCAGCAAAAACAGGATAGAACATCAGTGGGTGTAGTTCTGATTTGGAAAATGACCTTTGTTTCCCAAGATGAGCTCATGCGGAAGCCCCTACGCTAGAGGGAGAGAGTAGGAGGCTACTTTGCTACAGGAGGCACTAGCTGCATTTTGTGCTTCCTCCGCTCTCCTTTGTTTGAAGAGGTAGAGGTGGTGAAACCACACAAAGGTAACTGCATTTTAAGTCATATCATCTGGCATTTTTCAAAGTTGAAAGTGAATGCATGCTCCACAACTTTCCCATTTCCCTATAAAAGAAAGGGGATTTAGTACAATACTTAGGGAAAACAGGGAAATCCCGCAGAAACTTTCACATTTCTCATTACAGTATTAGGCTTAAATAGTTTGTTCTCGGTGTAAACTAGTAGCGACCGCGCTAATTTCCATTTAGAGATGCACTAGTTTAACAACGCAGTCCTCCTAATCAAAAAAAACAAACTAAAACTGCTTTTATACAGATTTCCCGCAACTTTCTAACTACGTCATTTTAAATCACACTTGCAAAATGAAGCAAGAGGAAACTCCGCTCTACAAGATAAAAAAGCTTCAGGTGAACAGGCAGCGTCGGGTTTCGTTTCTCCTCACGAGCAAGGTCGGGCTCAGGCCCTACTTGCGCCGGGCTCTCCGCACCCAGCTCAGCCCGCCCCTCGGTGAGGACGGGGCCTAGACAGGGAGGAGGACCCGATCCCGGAGCACGGTGTGTTGTGGCACCTATACTGAAGGCGCAGGGTGGGAAGAGAGGTGTGAGGGAAAGGAAGAGGGAAAGGTACAACGCACCCAAACGCGCCGGGAAGGTCTCATCTACAGCAGCGGGGCCAGGTCCGGCATTAGGAGCGGGAGGAGGAGGGGGCGGCACCGGGCGTGGTTTCGAATATCGCTTCGCTTTCACATCAGTAGAACGCGCAGAGCGCCTTTCCCTCGTACCCTTTATGGCTGGTGAAGAGACCCGAGCCGCCTCTGCGCGTAGACAGCAACACTGTTCAAGGCAAACAGCTCCCCTCGCTGAGGGACGAGGGAACTGGCTTTAGCCGCCTTACCATCATTATACATCTGCCGAGCCACGTTCGCTAGCCCTTAACGATTTTATCGTGAATCCGGCCGTTAACTATTTTGGGGCGAGGCGAGGGAAGGATTATGCTTTTCGTTTTGCTTTACAGTTTACCTCAGGAGGTGGAACTCGGAGCTACGCAAACAAACCTGCCTAGGGCCCACAAGATGGCGGCAGGGCTGGGACGGAAGGGGCGTCTCGTCCCGCGCTCAACCTCCCGCCGGCGCCTTTGGGTGTCGGTTACGCACAAAATGGCTTCCGACTGGCTGGGGCCGGGGCTCTTGGCAGTAAGATGGTCTTCAGTATATGTATGGACGTTTATGGGACTATAATTTTTATACTGTTGCTGGTATGAGGACAGACAAAACAGCTTTGTATTGGCCCCAGTAGCCTTCCAGTGGTAACAGATCGTTTATCAGTGAGCAATTACAGACGGGGTAAGTATGGGCATATGGTTTGGCGGGACTTTATACAGAAGGAAACCCTTACTTGGTTCATGTCTTGCTCTGTCAGTTTGAGTTCATTCATAGCGAGAATAATTTTGTACAGGCGTGTGAAAGCTGTGTGCTTCCCGTGGTTGTGTAATCTACAGTAAATTTTAAGTAGTGCCTTGTCCCTGTAAACTGGGTGTTGTGATTCCCTTGGTATAAACCTGCAACTTCCATGAAGAAACTTACTTCGAGGTGCTAGTATTGTAGCTGGAGCTGCTCTCTGAAAGGCCTAAAATACAAAATTCTGGATTATTTTATCAGCTGAACTAGACAAAAGCCACCATCATATGTGATGAAATTAGACACATCATATTTAAGTCCCAGCTCAATGGATTTCAAAGCATTTACGAAACAGTGAGTAATTTTTTGTGCTGCTAAAAATACTGCAGTGGAAGCACGGTACTCTGGGATAGCATGCTGCTGTGCAAAGAGTTCCACTCTTTGGAACTGCAGGGAAAACGGAGGCAGAAAGTAATCACCCACACTAGAATGTGGTCAGGTACCAAGTGACTGCTTTGTGTTCTGAAAAAATAATCTGGATTCTTACTGAAATTGTATGGTCAGGCTCTCACTTTAATATCAGTCAGTCAAGGGTATTAGAACATCCCTGCTACTAAGACGTAGCATTGGATTGGTGCTAATTGAGAAGGAAATCAGTCACTTGCTGTGAATCAATATGCACGCTTTCTCCTTGGATCTATTCCATACAAACATGTAAAGACTTGTACAGGCTAATAGAAGAGGTTTAAGGAGATGGTATGGCTGCAGGCTTATGAAAGAAGATTTTTTTTTTTTTTTTTCCCCAAAATGGTTGAATGAATGATTTACCAATTTAACACAGCCATTCCTTAAGCAACCAATATATTCTCTTGTTTACTTACTCCACTTTTCCCTTAATTTACCTAATTTTTATATGCTTATTAAACAGTTTTTGCATTTTATAGGCAGCATTTATGAGTTGTATGCAAGGTTTTTTTCATTCTTCCCCCATTTCTAAGTTGAAGTACTACATTGTCTTAATTGATAGGTTCTCATGTAAATGCAACTATAAATCAGTATAAATGCAGAACATAGAGCATACCAGTAAGATTAGATGTGATTGAGAAAAGATGGTCTTACATGTTTCAATTTAGAGGGCTTTGGATATAAATCTCTGGCTTGGACATATTTCTCTTTATTTGCTTTCCTAACAGGTTTGATCTCTTTCATTTTGTAGATTCTCCTAGTTATGTAAAACAAAAAAATGTTTAAGAATGTATGCCTCCTAAAATACTGTGAACCTGTCTTTTATGCTATGTATTTAAAAATCAGATTTGGTATGATCAGGGTGAGTGCATTACTTTTAAATATATAAATGGTGTCAGTAGTTTTCATATGTTATGTGTTGGTGTTGCTTTTATTATTATTATTATTAAAAGGCTAAGTCATTAAGGGAAGAGATTATTTTCAAGGGGTTTTCTTCTCCATTGGAACAGCAGTAAAAGAATTATCTGACTTTCAGATTTCTAGTATTTGGCCTACAACTGAGGATAGAGAATGTATAGAGGATCTGTAAAATCAGTTCCCTGTCATACATGTAAAACAGTTTGGATGAATCCCTGAATGTCTTGATACCCATGATGAAATCTGTAAACTTAATTGGGAGATGAGTATGCGTCCTGAATACGTTCCTTGTAAAACCCCTTGAAGCAAACACTCCTAATTTAAATTAGCTGTATTTAGAAAATACACTTGCATTCATGTAAAAAGTCTATCTAATAAAGGCTAATTTGGCAAAGATTTAATTGCAGGATAGAAGCTCATAGTTTGAGAGCTCAACAAAGAAGATTTTTGTAGGAAGGTTTTCAGGAGAGATTTCAAGGCAGGCTAACAACACAAACACACGGCTATAGTCTGCTATTTAAACTGCAACTGCCTCACATCATGGAACAGTTATTCTATTCTGCTATGCTCTGGAACAGGAATTTCACAGACATCCAATTTATACTACAATGTAGTCACTATTGTATTGGAATCATTTAGCTGCTTTAACTTCTTTGTAACACACAAATTTGGAAGATTATGCTGAATGATGTAAATATTATAGGTAGCATTAGCAAAAACAATAGATAAATCGCAAGTATCCTTCCAGGTGAGCAGAAATAGCTCTTTGACTACTGATGGAGATGGGATTTCCAGATGCATTTCAGAAAGTGGAGCATCATCAGATCTATTTTCCAGAACTTAAGATACAGAGAGAGCTTCCTCAGTGTGGTATTACAGTTATGCATGTTCCTCACCTGCAGGTGCCACTGCTGTTTGGTCACCCTGTTCTTTGTACTGTAAAATACTTGCTGGTAGAAAGGCTGTTTTAATGTAAGGACAGCCAGTGCTATGGTTACAGTGAAGACAGATTTGGTACTATTATTTTAATACACAGGAAATGCTCCATCCCCAGGCAGGATTAGTATTATAATACATGTAAAATAAAAATCTTTTGAGTATTGTATGTTTAATAACGATGAGACATTTTTATATTCCACAATATTGGCAAAATATGTTCATCATAAATTAAGGCAGTGGTTTAGGGCAGTGGCTGCCATCTGGCTATTAAACCATTGAATGATACCACCTTAATTCATAAATAAATGAATTTTAACTAAACTAGTCTAGTCTAACAGTGAATATGCCCAACATATTTGCTTATGTAGAATGTTGGTAGGGCTGATTCTTACAATCTTCCCTATACAAGGCAGCACTTACACATGAATTTAATTTTTAAATCTTTAAAGTAGAGCATCTGTGGAAATTTAAATTAAATTTAGATTATTTGCTTGCACATAAGTTTTCTGGAAACTGTCTGAAATTAGAAGACATAAGATTTTGATTGTCTTAACTTCCTTCATATACAATAAAGTTTTGATAAACAAAATTATCTGTTTTAAAAAAATGTTGAGGAATGCAATAGTTTATACAACTGCCAAACTACATTTGCATGTATTTTACATCTTTTGGTCTAAATAAACTAAGCAACATACGAAGGTTATGTATGCTGAAAATATGATTATAGTAATTTTTAAATCTGTGTTCATCTGCTAGTGCTTGAAAATAAATTAATGTGTGAGTATCTCTTCAGCTAGTGTAAATAAAGCTCTTGATTTTTAACAGAATGGTCTGCTGTATCAATGAAGTGGCAGGCTTATAATGTTTTAAAAGACTAATTCTACAGGAACTTGCAGCAACTTTACCTCAAAATCTGAAGCATTTGATGTAGAACAAACAAAAAAAAACCAATGAAAAGCATACATACAGAAGAACATGAAAACAAACTTTCCCAACATGAAACTAAATGGGACAGCAACTACTGCTTAAAGTTTTATTAAGGCTTATGCTTCTGGAACAGCTGCAACAGAGTTGGGCCAGAGGGGGAGCAGCCACTCAGCACACAAGTGTTGCGCATCAAATTAAAATTACAAAGAGCAGCTGAAGTGAGAAGCACACATCTTGAGTGCAAGATTCACCAATACTGCATGTAATGCTAGCTGTGTTAATTGTTTTTCTGAACAATCACCTAAAATTCAATTATCTTAAGAAGTTCAGTCTTGGACCCAGATAGAAAGCAAACAGTGAATACCAGCCTTTGAAAATATGTATTCTGGGTGGGACACTATAAGGGACAACATGGAAATTCTTTGCGCAATAGACCTTACACAGTAGATTCTTCATTTGTTTTTCAGGGAATGATGCAACTGGATAGGGATGCTTGAGAAAGAATTGGGCAAGAAAAATTTAGTAAAACAAATGTTTGCCCTATGAACAATGCCTTGAGCAATGTCATACAGAGATGACAAACTCCACTGAACAGTACAGCTGCGCTCTCACAATAACAGATGTTTACTGGCTCTAAAAATAAAGCTCTGCTATAATCTGACTCAGAAAGGCTGTGTGTGAATATATATATATATTATAAAAAGAGATATTTTAGACGTATTTGGTAGGACCTTCAAGTTTTTTGTAAACCTGCAATTTGTAATATGATTATGTAAACTTACCCGTTTCTTCACCATGGAAGTACACTATGTAATTGTCTAGTGGCATTCAAAGTTTCTCACTTGTTTGTCTAATTTTGCTTTTCTGTTTAGTGACACAGATATCCTGTTGTTTGGATTAAAAAATGAGATTGTATACCCTCCATAGCTTATGTTACTAATGGCATAACAAAATTTACAATAGGATATTCAGCCAATTCTAACTCCTAGCGCTGCAGAGGACATACACTGCCAACAGGCCCTTTTCTAGTATAGTCCTCA